CCTGTGCCCCGGTGAGGGGATGGCAGCGGCCGCATCCCGGCAGGGCCGGGGAGGCGCAGGGAGCAGGCGGCACAGCGGAGCCCGGGGCTTGGCCGTGACCCAGCTCCCGCGGCCAGCCGGGGGGCTTTGATCTCCGCCGGTGAATTGTTCAGCTCTGCTAGCTTATCTGCCGAGGAGGGAAATTAGGTTTTCTGCGCTGGCCCCACCTCCTTTTGTTTCGGAGGAGCTCGGCCACAGCCTGCCCGGCCCCGGCTCTGTGGTCCGAGCCGGGAGTGCGGCTGGACAGAGGCTCGGCCGGGTGCTGCGACCCTCGGGATGCCCTGAGCCCCCCGCTGCTGCGGCCCCTTGGCCATGGCCGGCCGGGCTTGGCCAGGCAGCACCCGGGGTCCTGCAGCCCCGGGGCCCTGCACCCCCGGGATGCAGGTAGGCAGGTCAGTGCGGGCAGGGGAGCATGGCCGGGGGACCCCACTGCCCGGGGCTGCCATCTGGGTGTCTGTCTGTCTGTCTGTCTGTTCCACCGTGCTCAAAGTCAGCCAGGCTGCTGTCCCCATCCTGGCCGCAGAGCTGGGCGCTGACCCTGGGGACACTGGCTGCTCCCACTGCAGGCTCCGGGACGGCGAAGGAAGAACATAACAGAGTTCCTGGGGGACAGCAACATCCCCAGCCCCGAGCCAGCCCTGCACGGCAGCAGCTCTCTGCCCACCAATGGCACTGACACCTGGAAGAACCGTGCTGCCAGCCGCTTCAGCGGCTTCTTCGGCTCCGGGACTAGCACGGGCTCCTTCGGGCGGGTATGTGGGATGCAGGCATGGGGAGGGGCTGTGGGAACGGCCTGTGGCTATTCTGGGGGAGCTGGGATGGGTCCCCCTGGGATTCAAGATCCTAGTTCCACAGGCAGGGTGAGGTAGTCCGTGCCCACCAGCCCCCGCCCAGCTCTGTTCCCCGCTTTTGGCCAGGAGACTGAGAAGCTGGAGCAGCTGGTGAACAGGCTGCACGCCTACAGCACCTTCGGGCTGCCCAAGCTGCCGCCCCAGCTCCGCTTCGACCGCGACTCCTGGGAGGAGGACGGGGATGAGGCTGGGCTGACACTGGAGGACAGCTGGCAGCAGATCATCCAGGGCACAGAGGTAGGACAGCTCCTGGGGAGCCTCAGGGGCTCTGCCCAGGCCCTGGCACAGCGCTGACCCTCAGCCTGGCAGGTCCTGTCGCGCCGGCAGTGCCACCAGCAGGAAGCCATCTGGGAGCTGCTGCACACAGAGGCCACCTATATCCGGAACCTCAAAGTCATTACTGATGTGAGTGTTGGCAGCCACTGCACTGTGCTGGGGCTGGGGGCTGTGGCTGCAGCTCACTGGCTCTCCATTCCCTCCCCACAGCTGTTCCTCTCCTGCCTGGTGAACCTGCAGGAGTCAGGGCTGCTCTGTGAGGTGAGTGGAGGGGGCTGCAGGGGACAGGGTGTTCAGGGATGGGTCCTCACCTCGCCATGCCGCAGGGTGGAGGTGCCATTCCCCAGTGCTGCCCGCCTCACCCCCACAGGTGGATGCCGAGCGGCTCTTCAGCAACATTGGGGAGATCATCCGGCTGCACTGCAAGCTGTGGCGCAGTGTCATGGCCTCAGTGCTGGCCAAGGCACGACGGACTGGGGCACTGCTTGACCCCATCGACTTCCTAGATGGCTTCAAGATGGTGAGTGAGGATGTTGTGCCACAGTGGGTAGCCATGCCATGCCGCGTGCTGCATGGTGACCACCTCGTGTCCCCCAGTTCGGGTCGCTCTTCAAGCCCTATGTGCAGTATTGCATGGAGGAGGAGGGCTGCATGGAGTACATGCGGACCCTGCTGCGGGACAGCGAGCTCTTCCGCACCTATGTGACGGTAAGGGGAGGGCAGGGCTGGGGCTGGGGCTGGGGCTGAGGCTGGGGCTGGGGCTGGGGCTGGGGCTGGGGCTGGGGCGGTGCCCGTGCTAATGCCTGGGTGCCACAGTGGGCTGAGAAGCAGGAGCAGTGCAGCCGCCTGAAGCTGAGCGACATGCTGGTGAAACCTCACCAGCGCCTCACCAAGTACCCGCTGCTCCTCAAGTCTATCCTGAAGAAGACAGATGACCCACACGCCCGTGATGCCATCACCACTATGGTAAGGGATCAGGGGTTGGGGGTAGCAGGGTCGGTGGCCCCTGGGCCCTCAAACCCACACGCCACTGCTGGCACAGATCAGCTCCGTGGAGCGCTTCATCAACGACGTCAACTCGCGGATGCGCCAGCGGCAGGAGCGGCAGCGCCTGGATGCCATCCTCAGCCGGATTGATGCCTACGAGGTGGTGGAGGGCAGCACAGACGAGGTGGACAAGGTAGGCTGGTCATGGTAGAGCTGCCATCTCATGCCGTGCCGTGCCATGCCATGCCACTCAATGCCAGCCTCTGCCACACTACTCTGCCACCCTATGTCATGTCGTGCCAAGCCACCCCATGCTATGTCATGCCATGCCACCCATTTCATGTTGCCCCATGCACCCCATGCTGACACCGGGGCTTCTGGCAGCTGCTGAAGGAGTTCCTGCGGCTGGACCTGACGGCTCCCATCCCCGGCACCTCCCCGGAGGACACCCGGCAGCTCCTCCTCGAGGGCAGCCTGAGGATGCGGGAAGGTAAAGACAGCAAGGTGAGGACCACAGGGGACAGGGAGGTCTCGGCTCCGGCCCCTGCCCACCCACCCTCACTCACTGCACCGACTGGTGCCCATGGCTCCACTCTCATCCCCAGATGGATGTCTACTGCTTCCTCTTCACTGACCTCTTCCTCATCACCAAGCCCTTCAAGAAGGCTGAGCGCACCAAGGTGATCCGGCAGCCCTTGCTGGTGGACAGAGTCGTTTGTCGGGAGCTCAGAGACCCAGGTGAGAGCATTGGGCATAAGGGAGACGACAGGGAGATCCCTGGACACTGCTGACAGCCCCTGCCCACAGGCTCCTTCCTCCTCATCTACCTGAACGAGCTGGGGAGTGCTGTGGCTGCCTACACCTTCCAGACAAGTGGGCAGTTGTGCCGCAGCTGGGTCGAGGCAGTGCGCAATGCCCAGGTGAGGGCACATGGGTGGCTGTGGGACCCATGGGTTCCCTGTGCACACCCCATTCCACACTGATGACTCCCCCTTCCCAGAACCTGCTGCAGCGTCTGCGGCAGCGCCGGCGCATGGAGGAGCAGGAGGAGGAGGATGAGGAGGACGAGGAGGATGATGGTGAGAGTGGCACTTCAGCTGCCAGTTCACCTACCATCCTCCACCACAGCAGCGCCAGCCCGGACTCACAGCAGTGGTAGGGAGCAGGAGGGAGGGACCTGCACACCCCCAGCCTGGCAAAGGCTCCTCCTCACCTTCTTGTCTCCACAGCCCATCCGACGGCTCCACCGAGACGCTTGCCATGGTGGCAGCAGACGGTGGCGACGAGCTCTCCTCCCCAGACTGGGACGCAGGACCCTTCAGCTCAACCTCGGATGGCTCCTCTGTTAGCACCAGCACCTCCATCGGCACCGGCACCTCTGTCGAGACCCCCACCTCTGCCGAGACCCCCACCCAGGAGCTGCCTGCAGGTGCCCTGCCTGTTCCCCTGCCCCACGGCGTGGCCTCCCCAGGCAGCGGCTGCCGCTCGTCCTCCATCGACAGCGCCTATGGCACGCTCTCACCTGCCTCCCTGCGGGACTTTGGCCAGCAGCCAGAGGGGACGGCCGAGGAGGGGCAGGAGCCCTCCCTGGCCCCCCCGGCTCCACGGCCTGCCTCGCCCCGGCTGCGCCGCCGGACGCCCGTGCAGCGCCTGCCTTGCCCAGCCAGGGTGCTTAAGTCCAAGTCGGAGGCCAGCTTGCCCCAGCTCCTATCCCCCACTTCCTCAGGCCCCCTAAGCCAAAGCCGCAGCCTCTCTGACCTCTGTGCTGGTTCCCCCCGGACTAGCCAAGACCCCGCACCTCAGGCTGCCCCTGGCAGCAGTGGCAGCTCCACATCAGAGCTCTCAGAGCCAGAGGAGCCAGTGGAGAGCCCAGCATCCCTCCAAGGGGAGCTCAGGCGTGACCCCCAGCCTCCTGCCCGTCGGACCCTCTCCGACCCGCAGTCAGCACAGCACCGCAAGCTGACTCTGGCACAGCTGTACCGGATCCGGACCACGCTGCTGCTCAACTCCACGCTGACGGCCTCGTAAGCACGTGCTGCCTGCTCCTGGGGGATCCCCAGCCCTTCCAGGGGCTCCCCAGGGACCGAGTCCCCGTGCTGAAGGCATCTCTACCCACTCTGTCTCTTGCAGGGAGGTCTGAGATCCGCTGGCATGGAAAAGGACAGATGCATGGATGTACCAAGGAGCTTCTCCTGCTTCTAACCGTAGCATAATGCTGGGGCCGGGCAGAGCAGGCACTGGGATGCCACTGTGCCTGCTGGTGGGGACATGAATGAGGATGCAGACCAGTCCCCTTGGCGAGGACGTGTCCTGGGCATGGTGGTGCGGGGCTGGACATGGCACGTGGCTTGTGCTGAACCCCTTGTCCACAGACATGGGAGTTGTCGGGCAGGGGGCCCTGGGGCTGTGGGGGGCTGTGGGAGACTGTGGGTCAGCTCTTGCGGGCGAGGAAGGGATGACGATGTCGGCAGTGGTGAGTGGGGAAGGTGCTGAGGGAGATGTGGTGCTGGTGGCACGGTGCTGTGGACAGTGCAGGGAGGAGGCTGGGGCTGGTGGCAGGAGAGGATGTTGCAGGGCTGAGGCAGATTTGCCCCGTGGGGTGGCAGTGGATGGCAGCACCTGGGACCGGAGTGTGGGACACACGGTGGGACATGCGCGGTGGCCGCAGCCCCGGCTGCCCCCCCATGCTAAGCTGCACTCCACGTCCCAGCTGAGCAATAAAACCAGCTGGTGCACGCTCATGTCCGCCTCGCCTTTCCTTTGGCTTCGGCAGCACCCAAGGCTGGGCATCACCCGGGTGGGTGCAGCGTGGCTGAGGGAGCCCCACCGGGACAAAGAGGGGGCTGGGGCCAGTTCCACCTTCTAGTTCTGGAGCTGGGCGTGGGGCTGAAGCCCCGGGATGGGGGTCTGCACTTCTCCCCACATACCCTGCGACCCCCCACCACCCTCACTACCGTGGTCTGCAGCAACGGGCAAGGGAGGGCGGCGGGCGAGGCACTGCAGGTTCCTCCCGCGCTCAGCACTCCCATCATGTGGTTTCATACCCCCTGGACTCATTTCCAAAAAAGCATTTCCTCCTGCTGCGGTTGGGTGTAAAAGCCTGTCTGGGGAGGGTTGGCGCTCACTCGCCACGCGTCGCGTGCTGCTGACGGCAGCCGTGGGGTGCCGGGGCACCCTGCCCGGGCACGGAGCTGCCCCGACACCCCACTGCACCTGCTGCCCTGCTCCCCTCACCGCCCCGGCATGACCCAGCCGCATCGGCCACAAGGATGAAGTGTTGCTGCCCTGGGGTGGCTTGGGTGAGTGCGGTGGCCTGGGCGTCCCATGGAGCCCTGGCACCAATTGCGGGGTGTCCCACGGCTGTGGCCGTAATGGGTGTGGAGGAGGGAGGGCGGAAGGTGGATTAACTCCAGTGCCAAGCGTGCCAAAACTGCTTACCCCTCTGTCTAACTGGGTGTGAGCTCTGCTGCACCTAAACATTGACGGTGTGGCGTGACCGTAAAGATCTCGGCCGCAGCCCGGATGCGGCCGTGGGGTCACTCGTGGGGCTCCAGCAGGGCAGTGCCACGGGGAGTGGCTGTGCCCACAGTCTGCGGGCGGCTGCTTTCGGGGCTAGCCAGGCGCACGGGTGGTGGCCCTGGCACACGAGCACGGCGGCGGCCGCGTTACCGAGGAGGGCAGAGAGGGGCTGGCACGGCACAAGCGGCGCTGGCTCTCCGCTGCTCAGCCAGCCCTGAGCCTGCCCCGTGCCCACCGGGCAGGGAGGGCCCCGCTGGGCACGGTCGTGCCTCGGCGGTGACTCAGATGTGCCGCTGGCAGCCGGGGCTGGGGCAGCGCCCGGATCTGCCGGCAGCGCTCGGTGAGCGGGGCGGCCCAGCGCGGTTTCCAGTCCGCCGGTGGCGGCGGGTTTAGTAGAAAATGATTCAACTGCCGTAATCGGGGCCATCACGGCTGGGAAATCCAGCCCCCAGCGAGGAATCCCCTGGCTCCCTGCCCACACTGTCAGTGCCGCGGTCCTCTCAGCCCCCGGCCCGGCCTGTGGAAGGGGTGGCAGCGTGGGCACTGCTCGCTGCGCCCTGCGGGGCTTCCAGGGGAGCAGGGCTGCTCTGCGGACAGCACCTGGCACCCCGCGGGGGAGCAGTGACCTACTTTGGGACGCGCGTAACGGGGCGCGATAGCATCGAGGAGAGCGTGAGCCAGGCACGGCTTCCTTTCGGGGAGGAAATCACCTCCTCTGCGAGGGAGATAAACCCCAGGAAAGTCAAAGCTGGCAGCGTTAACCCTTACGCACCCGGCTACCGACACCTCCCTGAGCTGGCGATCTCTGGCACCACCAGCAGTCCGTGTGCCTGACTCGCTGCTCCCCATCCCTGGGGACATGGCAGGGGTCCTGTTGGTCGAGCATCTCGGTGCCAGCCTGGAAGCACCATTTGCAGAGCACACGGGGGGCACCTGAGAGTCCCCTGGGCACAGCCTGTGGCACAGTGGCCCCCACAGTGCCAGCAGGAAGTTGCTTGCTCGTGTTCTACGGGGAAAGCAGAGCACGGGGGCTGCCACGGGGCATTCCCAGCCCTGGGGCAGCACACCCACGCGGCTTTGGGGCGGAGGGCCGCGGCTTCAGCCGTTCAGCCTTGTGCAGGCACCGCTGTCCGCACATTTCCAGGTATGGCTCTGGCTCTGGTAGCCCAGCATGAGCTGGTGTGAGGGCTGTCCCCAAGGGTGCAAGGCTCCCGGAGCAACCCGTCTGCCTGCAGCCCTGCTCTCTCCCTGCTTGCAGGTGACCTTGGCAGCGCTGTGGCTGGCAGCCAGCGAACTGCAGCCCCCAGGGTGGCGGGACCGCACCGTGCTGCGAAGGCAGCGGGTCCTGGTGCAGCCAATCCTCCGTCTGCGGAGACATACCGACAGACGCCCGTGCCCTGACGGCATGAACTGGGTCGAGACTACTCGCCGGTGCTGCTCTCAGTGTCCCGCAGGTGAGCGCTGCCCGGTCCGTGTGGCATGGCACAGCACACCGTGGCACAGCAGGTGCATTGCTCCAGGTGGCCGTGCTCCCTGTCACCCCGCTGTCCCTGCAGGGACATTCATGTCCGAGCCCTGCACAAGCCTGAAGGAGAGAGAGTGCCAGCCCTGTCCCGCCGGCACCTTCCGCACCCAGCCCAACACCCTCAGGGAGTGCCAGGCTTGCTACGAGTGTGACCGACAAGGTGAGCTGGCACCACACACAGCGTGCTGTGCTGTGCAGCGCCGTGCCACGCTGCTCACCGCTGCTTTCTGCAGCTTTCCAGAGTGTGCTGACCAACTGCTCGGCCACCACCAACATCGCCTGTGGCTGTGAGCCCGGCCGATTCCGTCTCTGCCTTGACAAGCAGTGCAGCGAATTCTCTTGCCAGAAATGCCAGTCCTGCACTGGGCGCCTCATCCAGAGACCCTGTGAGTGCTGCCAGCTGTCCCAGGGCACAACCTGCCAGATGTGCCATCTCTGGCTGTGCCACCCTGCCTCATTCCCACCCTCTCCCCAGGCTCGGAGGCACAGGACACACTTTGCGACAGCAGCTGCAAGCCTGACTTCTACAGAGAAGGTGACGAATGCCGGCCATGTCATATGTAAGCACTGACCCTCCAGCCCACACATGTGGGGTCCATGGCATGGCACAGCATGGCACCCATGGGACCCATCTCCTTGCAGGAGCACCCAGGACACATGTGGCAAAGAGTGCCAGCAAGTGTGTAGCAGCAACAACAACCAAGGTATGGGGACAATGGGGCCAGGGTCGGTGGTGTGCAGTCACCATGCTGGCCAGATGATGGGAATGCTTCTGCTCCTCCTTTCAGGCTCAGGTCTGGAGTACATCCTGCTGGGACTCACTGGGCCTCTCTTCCTGGGTGCCCTTGCCATCTACCACAAGAGGAAGAGGCTCTGGCATGATGTCCTGGCAGGTGGTCCCCGCCCCACGGCACAGGCAGCCACCTCAATGGCCGGGGCTGCAGGCACACCATGGTGCCAGTTCAATGCCCAGAGGTGGGACAACCTGTGCTGGACCCAGCCATGGTCCCCGCAGGGGACAGAACGTGCCACTGGCACAGCAAAGCAGAGCCCCAAACACCCCTTGCTGCCTGAGCCACCCAGTGACGAAGGGGAGCCCTCTGCACCCCTGGAGCCCCGCGGTGCCTTGCTGCAGGGCAGCCAACTCTATGCTGTCATCGATGTGGTGCCAGTACGGCGTTGGAAGGAGTTCATGCGGATGCTGGAGCTGCGGGAGGCAGAGATTGAGCTGGTAGAGCTGGAGGTGGCCCACATCCGCGACCAGCAGTACGAGATGCTGAAGCGCTGGTGCCAGCAGACCAGTGCCACACTGGACCACGTCTTTGCCGCCCTGGAGCGCATGGAGCTGGCCGGCTGTGCTGAGGCACTGCGCCAGAGTCTGCCCCTGGGACCCTGATCCCCAGCGTCAGCACCCTGGCACAGGGAGGTCCCGACACCTCCACATCTCACTGGGCACCTCATCCCAGCCATACCCCTAAGTATTGTTACTTATGCCGTGTAGACATTTTATGTCAGTTTTATGTCCCCTTCCCACCTGCCTGTTCCTTCTATTTATGTCCTCCTGCTCCCAGGGCCAGGGAGGACCCCATGCCCCAGCACGTTGGCTGCCCAGCCACTCGCGGGACGAGCAGGCGCCGAGCCCACCGCGAACCCATGGGATAGTTCTCAAGGCTGCCCGCCGCCGGGCGCTCCTTCCCCCTCCCCAATAAAGTGGTGTGTTCTCCATCCGCCAGCCCGGCCCTTCTTCACAAGGCTGCGTGGGCCGGACACCGGGGCAGTGCTGGCCTCAGGACCAGCAGCGCCGATGTGGCCACCACAGGTGACACGGGGAATGTGGGTGCTGGCAGAGATGCAGGCGGTGTGGGTGTTGGGGGTGGTTGTGGTGATGTTTGTGAGGAGGCACCGCTGTCAGCGAGCGTGGCGTGGGTGGGGGATGGCGTGGGGAGCCCCAGGAAGGCGCGGGGCACTGCTGGCGGGGTTTATCGTTTTAATCGCTGGAAAGGCAGGCGGTCTGGGCAGAGGTGAGCCGGAAGCTGACCTTGAGCGGCTTTGTAGGGGCAGTGATGAGGGCGAGCGCGCTGCAAGGGCGAGTGGTGCCAGCGGGGCGTGCGGTGAGCCCGGCCGAGCCGGGCAGTGCCAGGGAGCGTGTCCCACGCCACGCAGCTCGCTTTGCCACGGGCAGCACGGGGCAGCGGTGGGCTGGCGGCAGCGGGATGTGTGGGTACGGGGGGCTACGGGTGCCTGGGGCGGTGGAGGGGGCTTCTCTGGGTTGGGCTATGTGGCCGTCCACGGCAGGAGGAGGGTGCCGAAGCATGTCGCGGTCCATGGGAGGACCTGCCAGTCTCCTCCTGCTGCGAAGAGCCAGGATGAGGTGTGGCTAGTGCTTGGCTATGTCCCCCTTCTTGAGGATGATCTGTCGCTGCCAGGGCGCCAGCTTTGTCTCATCGTACCCGAGAGTCCTTAGCTTTTCCGACTGCTCCTTCTCCTTCTCCTCCTCCTCCCGCTTCAGCTTCTCCTGCTCTTTCCTGCTCAGCAGCAGAGGGCACGGGGCGCCGCGGTCACCAGAGCCGCGGGAGCCGCCGTGCCCGCCCACCCGGGGAAGGGGCTTACGGCACTCACCGTTTCTGCTCCCTGCGAAGGCAAAGGGAAGAGTGGGGTTAGTAGAGCCGCGGGAGCGACCGGCTGGTGCGGCATCCCCCGACCCTGGCTCACCTCTCTTCCTCCAGCTTCTTGCGCAGGATGTCCCTCCTCCAGGCCGGCATGCTGGCCAGGCGCGCCTCCTCTTCCTTCTCCTGCAACAGACAGCCGAGTCACCGGCACTGCCGGGAGCCCGCCCTCACAGCCGGCACCCTGGGGCCGCAGCATCATCCTGGGGCGCGGCACCACGTCCTTGTGGCAGCGCCCTCCTTGGCACGATGCCCGCGGGGTTCACCAGAACATGGCTTGCCGATGCGCCCCTCACTGCCCACCTTCCGCCGGCGCCGGGAGGAGGAAGGAGTGCGTGGCGTGGCCAGCCCTTGCAGCACACCGCAGCTTTATTGCACGACACGCGGGGGCCCACACTGCCCCGGCACCGCAAACGCCACACCAGAGGGGAGCGCAGCCCCGCCGCTGCACCTCCCACACAACACACAGCCACGGCAAGCGGCACACACTGCAACCTCGGCCCGGGGCCGCGCACAACAGCACCCAGCCCTCTGCCAAGCTGGGCCGCACCACGAGCCACAGAGGCAGGCCACAGCCCACAGCTGTCCCCTGAGCTTGCTGCTGCCCCATGCCACACCACTGGCACAGCCTGCAGCATCCTGTTGGACTCAGGTGTCAAACATCTCTGCCTCCTTCTCCTTCCAGAAGGAGAAGCTGCGGTCAATGAAGCGGCAGACGTCCTCCTCGCTGAACTCTCCCAGCTCTGGTACTGGCACTGCTGCCCCCTGCCCTTCCGGGGCCATGGCGGGGGGCTCTGGCAGGCTCTCTACCACTGCCACAGGGTCATCTCCAAAAAACTCCTGCACGAGGTCCTCAAAACCGTCAAGCCAGTGGCGGTGGCCAGCCTCGACCTGCTCCAGCACGGTGCGGTGGAAGCAGCGGACACGGTGCCAGCTGTGGCTGCCCAGGCGGTCAAACATCTCGTAGCAGAGGAGGTGGCGGAAGCGCCGCTCCTCAGGGCTGAGGGGCATCTCCAGCAGCTGGAAGTAGCCCAGCATGAAGAGGTCGAGCGGGAGGCTGTCGTGGGGCATGGGCGAGCCGCCGACGTGGGGCAGGAAGTGTTGGGGCCAGTAGAGCACTGTGGCGCGGCTCAGCCGCCGGATTTGACGCCCTGGGACCCGACGGGCAACACTCCTCCAGCGGGCCAACAGCCGCCCCACTGCCGGCCGCCGCCTCCCCGGCCGCCGTGGCCGCTCCTCCCCAGGCACTGCCGCCAGTGCCCGCTTCTTCCAGTGCTCCAGGAAGAGGAAGACGGCGCGCTCCTTGCAGCCCTTGGTGCGTTCATGCGGCCTGCTCGGCTCTGGCAGCGCTGGCCTGCTCCTCCGCAGCGCCCCGTCCCCGTATTCCTCCTCCAGAATGGGCCGGCGGGTGCTACCAGGGGGCTGCACCCGCTTGCGCTTAGTGACCCTGGGGGGAGGTGCAGGGGGTGCCCCTGGCCCCTCGTAGTTGGCCTTGAGGCTGCGGACAGAGACACCGCAGCCCAGGATCTCGCGCCGGGCGTCGTGCTGGGCACCGGGGCTGCCCGCTGCTCCCCCCGGCCCGGGACCCTCCCGGCCCCTCGGGGCAGGCGCGTCCTCGTGGGCGAGGGCGAAGCGCTGGGGTGCCGGGGGGGCAGAGAGCGGCACGAGTGGCAGCAGCTCCTCCTCTGGCCCCCCTGGAAGCGGCTGCCCCAGCTGCGCCTCGTGCATCACCCGCAGGCTCCCCAGCTGCCTCTCCAGGTGCTGCATGTCCTCCTCCCGCATCGGCTGCCCGGCGGGTCCCGGTAAGCCCCCGCGGGCAGGTGACCCGCGCCGGCAAAGGGGCGGCGAGCGGTTCTCAGGCTGCGGCGGGAAAGAGGGCAAAGGGGCTCCTGAGGCCATGCCGCACGCACCTCGTGCCACTGCCGCCGTGTGTGGCATCCCCGGGGTATGACTCCCCTGCATGCAGGTAGGGTGGTGCCCAGCCCAAATGCCACGCACGCCGTCTCGCCAGGTCCTGAGCTGCTTGGGCCATGCCCGCGCCGCGCTCGCCGCCGCAGCACGTGGGACCCCCCCTACCTTGCGCCGCTGCTCCTCTTCCTCCTGCATGCGGAGCTGCAGCTTGCGAACCATCACCTGCCGCTTCCACTCGGGGATGGGCCGACCGTGCTCGTCCTGGCTGGGCACCAGCGCCTCCACCTCCACCGCTGCCCCAGCGCCTGCTGCTGGCACCGGTGAGCTTCCGTTCAGCACTGGCTCTGGCGAGCCCCCTGCCAGGCAGCATGGTGGCCCAGCAGCCTCGGGGGTGGCCGGCGGGGTGGGCGTCCTGGTGGGTGACGGGGAGGACACTGGCGACTCTGCCTGTGGAAGGAGGGAGGGAGGGCGCTGGGCACTTGCCGTGCTGTGCTGTGCCGCGCCACCGGCTCCCCTGGCCCCCATCACCACCTACGTTGGCCCCTGCCTGGCCGCTGCCGGAGAAGACGGTGGTGAAGCCTTTGCTTTGTGGCGTTGGCTTGAGGCTCTTCCCAGCTTTGATCTCGGCCAGCAGCTCCGAGTTGTCGCCGGTGGGGGACATCATGTTGAAGGACTTGGTGCCTGAAGGGAGGCAGAAGGGCAGTAAGCACCCTGCCAGCACAATCTCCCTGCTCCTGTCAATCCCCCAGCAGCTTGCAGGGTAGGGGAGTGGAGGAGTGGCTGGCTGACTGCCCCCCTCCATGCCTTCCAGGAGCCCCTGGAACACCCCTGAAGTAGCATCCAGACACCCGGCTCACCGGTCCACAGGAACAGCACATCAGCAAACTCCTGGGTCCATCAGACCCCAGAGGAGCTAACCCCCAGCACTCAATAGCCTGGCACCCCAGCTCCACAGATCTGTAAGACCAGCACTCCAACAGCAGCTTACAGGGTCCATAGCACTCTGCTGCAGCAGCACCCCAGCACCCCAGCATTCAGCTGCAAGGGTCCCAGCCTGGCCCCAGCCCCAGTGCCGCTCCATGCCCCCGAGGCACTATGTTGCAACAGAAGTGTGCCTCTGGAGGGATGGCTCCGTGGCCGGTGGCAGCCCTGTCGCTGCGGGATGGCCCTTACATTCCCGACAGCTGCCGGCAGCGATGCACCGACAGCCTGAGCCAGACTCCCTGCCAGCCCGGTGCCCAAAGGGATGCTCTTCCCACTGCTCACGCCACCCGCCTCGCGAGCACCCACCGTCCGTGCCAGCCATGCGTGAGTCCCTAACGGGCCATGGTACCGCGCCAAGGCAAAGCCCCCTGCCCGCGGCCGGCGCCCGCAGCTCGCTCCGCTCGGCTGCGCCACGCCGCAGCCAGAGGGCTGCGGGTGCTGAGGGCCCAGCGGGACGTGCCCGCTGCCATCCAGCGCCGGCTGAGACCCCCCGGTCCCGGGAGCCGGCGCTAATAAAGCGGACGGCGAGCGGCGGCCAAGCCCGGCGGCTGCGCTCAGCGGCGGGGGAGCGGCCGGTGCGCTCACGTGGCGGGGTCACGCCGGCCGGCTGAGCGCGAACAAAGGGCTCTGTGTGCGGGGCTCGGTGCCCGCCCGGCCCCGCCAGCCCTGCCTCCGCCTTCGGCAGCCCCGCACCGGCGCGGGGCTCCCCGCGTGCCGCCGCCGGCCGGCGACGCGCACCGAGGGCAGGGCACGGCCCCAGCGGCCGTCGGTGCCCCGCGGCTGCCCTCGCCGGTTGTGCCCCGCGCCCCCTGAGCAGGGAGGAGAGTGGGGCCGCGGTACTTACTCTTCATCTGCCTGAGCGCCTTTCCTCCTAGGGAGAGAAGCAGAGAGGCGGCGCGGGGCGCGCGGCAGAGGAAGGATTTGGCCACCGCGAGACAAGAGAGAAGAGAAGCGGCCAGCAGTGAGAGCAGGCAGGGGCGAGCGGGCGTGGGGGCCCCCGCGCCGACACCGGAGGAGAGAAGGACAGAGAGGCTGTCAGGAGCCGCGCGGCCCGAGTGCCGCGGGAGGAGACGAGCCAAGGAGGTCAAAGCCACAGTGCAGCCAAGAGACAGTGCCCAGGATCACTCCCCGTGCCCACCCGGCACCCTGCCACTTACTTCCCGT